AATTAAATTAATTAATTAATTAAAAATAATAAATATTAGTCTTGTGTTTTCATGATAGTTAAAATAAAAAGAAGTTAAAGAAATTTTTATATAAAAAAATACATGAGTGAATAAGTCTCAACAATCTAAATGCAAATAATATTGATTTTATGGTGGCATTCTATTTTCCTAAGTTTTATAAGAGAAGGAGATGAATGACTTCATTAATGAAATGTATTAAATATTGTTCTAGAAATTGATTGATTTAAGCATGTGAGTAGGAACACGGGTTGACATCCACTCTATTTCTTTGTCCTTCCATTTTCTCTATTACTATAGTTTTGTGTGTAAATAACACACATTTCTAAGACATGTGACATATAATTAATATTTAGTTAATTTTATATACATAAAAACTATAGTAATGAAGAAAATAGAGGGACAAAGAAATGGAGTGAATCTCAACCCTTTTAAGACATGTGACATATAATTAATATTTAATTAATTTTATATACATAAAAATTATAGTAATGAAGAAAATGGAGGGATAAAGAAATTGAGTGAATCCCAACCCGTAAGAACGGGTTGGAATCCACTCTATTTCTTTGTCCCTTCATTTTCTCCATTACTATAGTTTTGTGTGTAAATAATAATGCATGAAGCATAAATAAATTAATAGTTTTGTCCCTCATATGTTGTAAGGATCATTGAGTGTAAACAAAATTAAATTGGGTCAAATAATAATGCATGAAGCGTGCTAATAATAAAGTAGGGTAAAGGTACCTTAGAAAGTGATGAAAAAGCCACATGGGAAGCACTACACACAAGCAAAATAATCTAATAAATAATTAGTTCAAAAATTCGGAGATATCCGTAATTTAATCCAACATATGACCCCACTTTAGTCAAATCAGTATGCGGCGCCACATGTTTTTCAAATTCCTACCTAATCTCAACATCATAAACATTCTTCCTACATTTAGTTATTCATGTACTATGTGATGCATTTAAAATAAGGAAAATGATATTTTTATACTAATTTTTAACACTACACCGTATTTTGTACATTCTACAATCTACTGATTCAATTTTTTAATAATTTATTTAACTTTGATTTACGTGCATTGCATTTTCTTTTGTTGGTTTATACGGTGTAAAATCCAGGTGTAGAAAAAGTGGTGTTAAAATAGCATACCTGTTAAAATAAAGGTAGTTATTGAGATAATTCATTTAATAAGAGCTCTAGATAGAAAAACGAAATTAATAAGAGCTATAGATATATGAGCTCTCTTAAGTTAGGGGAGTATGAGATTTTTTTTCATGTCTATTAAAATGAACCAAAATTGTCAAAGATAAACAAATAATGTGATTATGTTTTGTGCTAATAATACGATTAATTAATGAGTGGAGATTACAAAATTATGATATGAGAGAACTTGATAATGTTAACGTAACATATTAAAGAATATAAAATATTATTGGGTCAAACATCTGAGTCAAACATCATTTCTCACATATCTTCAAAGAAAATTAAAAACTCACAAATTAATATCAATACGAATAGTTAAATAACACAAAATTTATGTAAGTTACATGCATAGGGAGTATCATATTTTTCTTAATAAATATCACAATTTTTAAATTATTTAGGAAATTCAATTAATCAATGTATCAAGTTATTTTATGTATTTAATTTTTTATTTTACTTTTTTATTTATTTTTAAATTTAGTAACTCGACGTCCTCATACATCGTATTTTTTTAGATCTTTTGAATTTTATTTTAGTTCATACCATATGAAAACTACCAGGCTTAATTTTTTAAACTAAGATAATATGATTATATTTTAGATTATCAAGTCAATTTTGAAAAGTTGAAAAATAGAGTATTAGAGTTACCACCTTATGCAATTCTCAACTATTTCATAGCTGATTTAAATCAAAAAATTCAAAATGAAATAACTATCCAACACCTTTACTCTATTTCATAAACAGTGTGACTTGTTAAATTAATTGAAGTCATGCTAAAATATTCAAAACCTAAATCTATTAGACATTCTAACCAAAACCCCAACCCTTATTACACGTAAACAAATTATCTTCAACCATCTTACCTTATTCCAAACACCATAACACCCTATAAGTCTCCAAACAAATCTCGCTCAAGCACAATCCCAAATTATTTACCTATACATTATATCATCTCAACTCAACATGAAGTATACAAAGCTTAAGTTATATGATTTAGTTTTGATGAGAAGTTTGTTCCAGTCCATAAATGTTGAGCAAGAATTTTTTTTTTTCATGACAGAAGATGATAATCCTATTGAAACTTAAGAAACTAATGAAATTTATGACGTATTGAAAGTTAAATTTGAGTCCAAGAAAACTTATGTTCAACTATCACCATAAGTTGTTAGTGGCCAATTTTCCCCAAAAACCTTGAAATTTAAAGGATTACTTGATAGCTTATTGATTACTTTTTTCATCAATACATGTAACAATCACAATATTCTTCAACCACACATAGGTCAACATCTCAAAATTCCCACCAACCCATACCAAATTTATGTGTATTGGTGGGAAATGACTCGCACTTACTATGATCTGGACTATTCTTTCAAGTTTCTATCACATTGCAAAACCACATATTTTTATACCTTTCTATTTACTTCACATTAAAGGAACTATGTGGTTTAGGAATTAAATGATTGCGAACACTTGAACCCCTTCTAGCGGATTTTTCAATACCTAAAATATCATTCACCTATAAAAATAAGGATATCATTATTATAGGTGGTCCAAAACTCTATCCAACACCCTCAAGCTACAATCAACTTTTCCATATACTCCATATAGACTCCATTTTTTCAATGCACCTTTTATTTTACCAGCCTACCCGATACATACTCAAAATACCGTAAGTCAATCAAAGTAATATTTAGACACTTTTCTCACATTCTTGCCCAAAAAAACCACAAACATTGTCAAATCCTATTATACCATTCTCCAAAACCCTCATGACCTACCTTCCACTGGATCTCATAATGACCACATCCTTCTTGCACCAAAGAGTACTCCTATAAATATTAATCCTTATCGATTAACCCACTCACAAAAAGAAGCCATGACCTTAATCACTAATGACATGCTCCAAGAGGGAATAGTCAAACCTAAGAATATCCCTTACTCATAACTAGTTTTACTAGTGCAAAAAAAAATGGTATGTGGCATTTCTATGTAGACTATCGTGCACTTAAAGTAGTTACAATTCAATATTGATTCTCTTTCCCTACCATTGATGAAGTCTTTGATGAGTTGGATTCTACATTTGTTTTTAGTAAGATTGATTTAAGGTCGGGCATACTAAATTCAGGTTATATAAGAAGCCACTCGCAAAACTGTATTTAGAACATTTGATGGACACTACGACTTCTTGGTTATGCTTTTTGATTTAACTAATACTCTTAGCACTTTTAAATCAACTATGAATAATTTTCTTTTACCAGATTAGAGACGATTTGTTTGTATTTCTGTGATGATATTTTAATTTACAATCCTTCTTTAAGTGATCATGTGCATCATTTGACAATTGATTTTAGATTTTTTTTTACTTCACACCAACTTATTGCATAATAATTTAAATGTGTGATTAATGTTCCTAATGTTGATTATTTAGGCCACATCATTTCAATTAATTGTGTTACCTCAGATCCTGCAAAGATGCAAATAATACTAGATTGGACAATGCCACAATCACTCACGACTCTCTAGGGGTTTTAAGTCTCACCGAGTTTTAAAGACAGTTTGTCTGCCATTACACCTCTCACATAACTCATCTCGCCGATCTATTATGTTTCATTAAATTTTCATAGAGTACATCAAGTGATACATCATTTACAACACTTAAGAAAAAATGATTGAAACTTCAGTACTGGGTCTTTCAGACTTTTCCAAAATCTTTATTTTTGAAACATGCTTTTGTTTATATGTTGTTATATCTCAAAATCATTTGATTTTCTTCAACTAAAAGACATCCAACTGTATACAGCTTATCTGTATACGTATGTAAGATTTGCGCCATCACATAAGATGTAAAGAAAATAGTGTCCGTATCTAATTGAAAGTCATTTTCAAATATTCCCAAATTAAAAAGAGTTTGAAAAATTTATTAGTCCAAACAATCCTGATTCCAAAACAAACAAAAATGACCTCACTAATTTTATAATTCAAATTAGAACAAATATTATATATAAATGATTTATCATACTTATACATTAATTTATATAATACTCATCAATAGTAATTAAATAATTTAAAAATACGCATAACATGGATTGTCGCCTAATTAATCATATAAATATATAAATTTCAAGCATCAAAAATACTTTTAAATCCCTTCCACGAGTTAAAAACTAGGCGTGTTTAAAATATCTTACTAATATGCGTTACAAATACTCGATTTTACATTTTTTGTAACTGTTATATTTTAAATTCATAATAAGATAATTAATAAACTCATATTTATTAATACTATTATTTATTGAAAAATGTTAACGAGTGTTGTTGAAACAGTTTTTTAAAAGTTTAAAAAATATATATATCATGTATTCAATACATTAAATTTTAATTGAAATCATTAGCATTATACAACAATGAAAAATAAATGAGAATGAGAATGAAAATGATGTTTATCATTATTAAGTTGACATAATCCTAAAAATTTGTTTGCAGCTGGTAAGAATGTCTCAATTATATTTTACTCATTCTTAAATCTTAAATTTCCCATAAACTTAAATTTCCAACTATACCCTCAGCATTTCCCACACTCCTCGTTCTCTTCAATACTTTGTCTTCTTCTCCATTTCCACTACTTTAAACCCCACAACACACCCATTCCCTTTCAACATCACCATCATTATCAATTTCAATTTTGAACCAAATCAAATCACAACAACAACACTCATAACTGCTTTTTACTCAAAACGAGTTAACACCGATTCCACTCACTCACTCACTCAACATGAGCCGATTCAGAAGATACGAAATCGTCGAAGAAGAACCATTACCTTTTCTGTTACCTCCCTGTCACTCATCTTCTTCACATTTCTTCGTAACCGAAGCCCTACCATTTGCTTCCTTTGTTGAAGAATCTCTCCCGTTCAATCTCGATCTATGTCTTCTCCCTAGTCATTTCCACGCGGATCTGGTGCGCGTGGATCGTACTGCGTCGTGTTTGCAGAAACGAGTTGAGAAGCAGCAGAAACTCGGTTTGGAGATTTTGAGTGACCGAGTCGCCGAGTTAGAGTCGCGATTCGAGCAGATCCTTGGCGGGAAGAAGAAGGAGGAGAAGAAGAAGAGCAGCGGCGGCGGCGGTGGTGGATGTGATCGGAAGTACACGTGGACGACTGAGATTAAAGGAGCTGAAAAGAATGGGTTTGATAGGAAGTATAAGTGGATTGCTGAGATTGTTGAGGAAGAAAAGAAGAAGAAGAAGAAAAGTGATGAGAGTAAGTTGAAAAGTGCGGTTTTGAAGAATGTTAAATGGACGGCTGAGATTAAAGGAAAAGGGGAGGATAGTGGGAACACGAGGAAATATACTTTTGCAGTTGAAAGTGGTGGCGATGATGCTGAGAAGAAGAAGAAGAAGAATGTGAATGAGAAGGAGAAGGTGAAGGAGGAAGAGAGTGCTAAGGATAAGAAGAAAGAAAGAAAATTGCGTATTGTGGAGATTGAAGAACCTGAGGATCATAGGGTTGTTGTTTTAAGACAGGTTTGTTAGCAAGTTTAACACTTTTCATCTATAAAGTAAAATTGTCAAAACTAGTTGGTTGTATAATATGATGAATTGGATTAGAAGTTTAATGTTTAGGGTTTAATTGTTTTAGGGTTTAGAATCCAAGCTGTAGATGAAACTATTAAGATTTAGATGCCAATGCATTGGCTATCAACATAATTTCAGAGTAGTCATTCCCCAATCTTGGAGCGGCCAACCTCAAAAGTGGGATAGCGGGATGACTATAGTTTTATTTGATCATTTTTTGGACTAATTACACATAATCATTATAAACATATATTTATTGTAAAATTAAATAAATAACTCAACTCATAAAATTTCATAAATCAAAGCACACTTGAAGTGTATAAACAACTATGAAAGAAGGTTGAGGTTGAGTCTCAACTCAAATTTGATTGAAAAACCCATCATTGCCTTTAAAAAGATGTAAATTTAGGGGTCATTTCGGCCTTTTGGAGAGGAAAAGGATAGTAGGCCAGAAACCACTCTGGGCCGGGAACTGCTCTGTTCTGTTATCCCGATATTTACCCTATAGTGGCTGCTATAGTGTTCTGCACCGCTAAGGCTCTTCCCATAGCGGTCGGCCCCTGTTCCGCTATAGCAGGATAGTGTCACTAGTGGCTGCTCTTGACTACTCTGCATAATTTATGATAGAACATTATGAACATTGTTTGATTTGGTCATGTATATGACACCTAGTGAGATTAGGTTTGGTTATTGTTATTGTTCTTGATCTTGATTGATACAGATAATGCTGCTCTATTTAAAAACTTAAGCTAGATGAGCTGTTCTATTTTATCTAATTTACTTGCTTGATGATGAAGGCATATGCTAAGAGGTTTGGAGCAGTTCAAAATCAGAGAGGCAAAAAGAAGGAATTATCCCCTCAAGATGCTGCATTGTTGATCCAGATCACCTTTAGAGCATATATAATCCGTAGGTCAAAGGCTCTTCGTGCCCTTAGAGAACTCGCTGTTGCAAAATCTAAATTAAAGGAACTCAGAGCTCAATTCAATAACTTTTCCTACCGACGCCGTATAGCTAGTGATCCAGTGGAACGCCAGAGGTTTTCTGAGAAAGTCATTGTCTTGCTCCTAACTGTTGATGCCATTGAGGTAGTATCTCCCATTTCTCCAAACTTTTATGTTATACATGAGTTCAAGTGAATTTAATTTAGTAAAACTATACCTGCAACTTTATTTATTCAAGACAATACAATATAATATTGATGTTGAAGAAAGCCCGTATCATGTGTAGGGCTGGAAATGAGTCGAGTCGAGTCGAACTCACCTCAGCTCGGCTCGACTCGTTAAGAATTGTTCGAATTCGAGTTCGACACGAACTTTTTTTTAAGCTCAAACTCGACTCGTTATAAGTTCACGAACAGTTCGATTCGACTCGTTAGGTTCATCTCATTAGGTTCAGCTCACATGGTTCACGAACTTAAAAACTATTTTTTTAAATATATATATTTTTTAGTATATTTGACATTTTAAATAAATATATATTTTTTAAATAAAATATTAAAATAAAATAAAAGTTATCATATTGATATTTAACTTTATCTTCGAAATCTACTAATTCAAAACCTAGACAACTTTCAAGAGATACATTTGAGAGTCTAACTCAAAAACTACTAAATTGAAGATTAAATTTGTCTAAGATTTGAAGTAAATATTTAAACCTAATCTTAAAGACAATATAACTCTTTTCATATGTAATCGAGTTGACTCATGAACCTAACGAGTCGAACTATGTATAGTTCAAGTTCAGCTCATTTAGTTAACGAACTTAATTTTTCGCTCATACTCAACTCATTTGGTTCATGAACCTAGTTCAACGATTTAATTGTCGAGTCGAATTCCGAACTATCTTCGAGTTGGTTTGGTTCATTGCCAGCCCTACATGTGACATTAATCATCGTGAAATTTGAGTTCTGAGTTCTCATTATTCAATTTGTAATGAAATGACAAGTTGCAAAACAAGTCAGTTTGAATGTAAATCATGTGCCCATTTTGTGTTTTGCTGCATTGTCATGGTCTGGTAGACAAAAAAGAAAATATATGAACATAATTATAGCCGTTGAAATATTTAACTATTGTCCAACATTGAGTGTTAAACAATTAAATAAGTATCATCTCGGTTTTTCTGACCCGTTTGCTAATTTTATGTAGGGAGTTGATCTGATGGTTAGATCTGCAAAGAAGTCAATGGTGGATGAGCTGGAAGCAATGCTTGATGTGGTAGATCCCCAGCCTACTGGAGGATCCCAATCATTCAAAAAAAGAACATTTGATATGCCTGATGGAGTCATCCGGAAGGAAATTGAAGAGGGTGTTGCACAAGTTGTGCAAATGCTCGATGAAGCCGAGAATAGCAGCAGCACCTATGAAGCATCCCATCATGATTAAGGAAGCAATGTTTATCGGCTTATTTCCTGCTTTCCATCTGAGGTTGTAGTATGTTGCTAGACGGATCTTAGTCTAAGGTTTGAGTACTTTTGTTAAGTTTAGCTTTCATGTTTCTTCTAATGGTTTTGTCTTTGCTTAATGTTTGGAACTTTTATGAATGAGAAAAACGAAGAAACTTTTGAAATATATTCTCATAATATATATGATGACCCCAATAAAGTATTTCAAGTTTCGGCACTGCAATTGTTGACTACCAAATGAAGTGTTCGAGATCCTCCACTTCCATTGTCGACTACCAAATGAAGTGTTCGAGATCCTCCACTTTCATTGTCGACTGTAAAGACTGAAGCTAATTCAAACAATCTTAGCTATGGCGTAACACTGCATTTGTTTATGATATTATGTGTATGTGTGTAGAGGTAGTTTTTGACACTTCTATTGGATTCTAATTTTAGTTTCAGAAGAATCTGATTTAAAATGTAAGCTTGAAATTGAGTTTTCTTTTTTCCAACGATATCTTAGTAGTGGCTCTTTAGTTTGGCTTTTCAACCACCAAACCACCAAAGGTACGTTTCAAAGCTCTCCCACCGTGAAAAAAGAGAAGCTCCAAAAGCTAGTTTTTCGGTAAAGGTTGATTTCCAAAAGGTAGTTTTTCGGTAAACGTGAAAATCCACCGTGATTTCACAAATCCAACGCTAAACCAAGCATATTGCTCCAAAAGGTAGTTTTTCGGTAAAAGTGGAAACCCACCGTGATTTCACAAATCCAACGCCAAACCAAACATATTATAAGGATGTGTTTGACTTAGAAGATAAATCCAACGCCAAACCAAACATATTATAAGGATGTGTTTAAGTAGATTTTGAGTACATTTTGGTTCAAGAGAAAGACAGAAGAAAATGTTATATATTATTTTAAAAAGTACAATGATAAATAATATTTTAAAATGAATAAATTTAATTCTTTTAATTTTAATTTAATTAATTAATTAATTACATCGCTTTATAAAAAAATATTAATTATTTTATCTGCTTATAAATTAGAAATTATATTATGTAATATATTAAACATAAATTATAAATAATATTTATGTTTATATAAATTTAAATTAAAAGAATTAAATTTATTACTATTTTTAGTATATATACTATAATTTATGTTTAATATATTTTATTGCAATATTTAACCAATTTAGTGTAACTTTTTAAAAATATATATATAACTTAAAAAAGGATCCAGTAAAAAAAAAATTTCGTCTCTGCCATTTGAATTTTTTTTTTATTTTACCTCCTTAGTGGACACAATCAATTTGAATTTTATATATTTTTTCATTTTATTTTTAATATACGCGTGATATTTTATTATTTGCATGTTGAAATATAGAAGATCAAAACTTTAAAATTTTATCCACAGCAAGTATTAAACTCATAACTTGGGGTATGAAAGGAACTCCCCTTACCACTAAGCTGCTATGTTTTTGTTGTTCATGAATTGTATCAATTAAATTATATTAATTGATAAATGTTAAACTATATTTAATATTGAATTGAAAGTAAATATAAAACTTAAATAATATTTTAACAAATTAAATTAATATTAACATTTTAATAATGTTAATATTAATGTTTCAGTTAAATATTAACGTGTTAATATTTAACTATAAATTAAAATTAATATTTTAGTGTAATAATTTTAATATTAATATTAATGTTAATATTTAATAATTTATTTTTTTACTATTAATTTAATATTAATTTTTTAATTGTAATTAAAATATTAATAATATAAACTAAAATTATATAGTATTTATTTAATAATAATGTTAAATACGTATTATAACGTATTTAAAAAAATTAAAATTAGTATTTTAGTTCATGTTTTAAATAATAAATGTTAAAACATATATTTGATGCAAACAAATAAATATATATTCAAAGTAAATTATTATATATTGAAAGTAATATATATATATATATATATATATATATATATATATATATATATATATATATATATATATATATATATATATATATATATATATATATATATATATATATATATATATATATGTATGTATGTATGTATGTATGTATGTATGTATGTATGTATGTATGTATGTATGTATATATATATATATATATATATATATATATATATATATATATATATATATATATATATATATATATATATATATATATATATATATATATATATATATATATATATATATATATATATATATATATATATATATATATATATATATATATATATATATATATATATATATATATATATATATATATATATATATATGTATGTATGTATGTATGTATGTATGTATGTATGTATGTATGTGTATATATATATGTATATATATATATATATATATATATATATATATATATATATATATATATATATATATATATATATATATATATATATATATATATATATATATATATGTATGTATGTATGTATGTATGTATGTATGTGTATATATATATGTATATATATATATATATATATATATATATATATATATATATATATATATATATATATATATATATATATATATATATATATATATATATATATATATATATATATATATATATATATATATATATATATATATATATATATATATATATATATATATATATATATATATATATATATATATATATATATATATATATATATATATATATATATATATATATATATATATATATATATATATATATATATATATATATGTATGTATGTATGTATGTATGTATGTATGTATGTATGTATGTATGTATGTATGTATGTATGTATGTATGTATGTATATATATATATATATATATATATATATATATATATATATATATATATATATATATATATATATATATATATATATATATATATATATCTATATATATATATATATATATATATATGTATGTATGTATGTATATATATATATATATATATATATATATATATATATATATATATATATATATATATATATATATATATATATATATATATATATATATATATATATATATATATATATATATATATATATATATATATATATATATGTATGTATGTATGTATGTATGTATGTATGTATGTATGTATGTATGTATGTATGTATGTATGTATGTATGTATATATATATATATATATATATATATATATATATATATGTATGTATGTATGTATGTATGTATGTATGTATGTATATATATATATATATATATATATATATATATATATATATATATATATATATATATATATATATATATATATATATATATATATATATATATATATATATATATATATATATATATATATATATATATATATATATATATATATATATATGTATGTATGTATGTATGTATGTATGTATGTATGTATGTATGTATGTATGTATGTATGTATGTATGTATATATATATATATATATATATATATATATATATATATATATATATATATATATATATATATATATATATATATATATATATATATATATATATATATATATATATATATATATATATATATATATATATATATATATCTATATATATATATATATATATATATATCTATGTATGTATGTATATATATATATATATATCTATGTATGTATGTATGTATGTATGTATGTATGTATATATATATATATATATATATATATATATATATATATATATATATATATATATATATATATATATATATATATATATATATATATATATATATATATATATATATATATATATATATATCTTTAAATTAATAATGTCTTATAATTGATATCATTTAATATATTTTAATATTTAATAATTAATATTCAATTATTAATATATTATAATATTAATGTTTTCTTATTAACATTTTATAATTTTAATATTTTATTATTAACATTTTATAATATTAAGCAAATACTGTATATGTTAAAATAAATATACCATTTAATGAATATATTTAACTATATTTGTTTAATAATATATTTAAATATATGTTAATATTTAATTAACATAGTTATTTAATTAAATATTTATTTAAATATATTATTAACATATTATAATATTAATATTTTATAATATGTTAATTATTTCATTTTATTTTATTAAAATACGTTAATATTAATTTAGTATAGTTTAGTTAAAAAATTAATATTAATTTAGTTAAAACGTTTAAAAAAAGAACTTTAGTTTAATTTAGTTTATACTAATATTAGTTTAGTTCTATTAATTTAATTTAGTTTATTAAAACGTTAATATTAATTTATAAATAAAATATTAGACAAAAATTTAGTTTATTAAAACGTTTGAAATGATGTAACTAAATAAAACGTTTATATTATATATATTTGATACAAATCATAAACAACAAAAACATAGTAGCCTAGTGGTAAGAGGAGTTTACTTCAAATGACAAAGATGGAATCTGTGTTTTTTTTACAGGATCATAGCAGTGATGTGTTGCTAGATACTGTTCACTGTTTATTATATTAAATATGTGATTTAATATAATTTTCAACGTCACGAGAGCCTACAGGGTCACACACGTAAGGACAAAGGGTCACACACGTAAGGACAAATTGATGATAGATAGAATAAATAAAATATGGAACATTGTATAATATAATAATAAGAGTTATTATTATTATTATTATTATTATTATTATTATTATTATTATTATTATTATTATTATTATTATTATTATTATTATTATACGGTGCACTTAAATTTGGCTTTTTAATTTGTAACCCACACAAGTGATTCTATAATTACAATTCTTGTGTAGAAGTTTTAAAATTTGAGAAATTCAGTTGGTGAAATTCTGACCATATTTCTCTCTTTTTATCTCTCATTCAAAGTCTTTATTCGTACCAGCTAGCACTGAGATTGAAGGCACTCTGTTTGTGTGAACTGAGTAAAGGCGTTGTTCTTCATTC